GGTGGACCCAAAGGAGTCTTGGTACGGTAAGGCTCCAAGTTTATTAAAATAGATTAGACGTAGATGAGAGAGCTTCAAAGGGAGAACAGTTATGCACACACACACCCAGGTAAAACAGTTTTAATTAAGTGAAAACAAAGGAAGACGTGAGTGTGTATGTAGGAATTAAAGTAGTACAGGTATTCCTCCTTTCTAGGGCGCTGTCCACGATGATTGGAGCAGAGAGGACGGACGGACTGAAGGATCAATAACGGGAGAGTTAAGTCTAAACCACGGCTCCTCCCCAACTGTTTTGGACCAATTAGATAGTAGTACCTTTTCATACAAATATTGTTACCCACTAAGTTGAAGTCAGTCTTTCTTGTTTATCCTAAACAGATAGGCTCCATGTGCACATGTTAATTTTGATACGTTAATGCATAATAAATTTCATACTGAGAAATATATATCCTCTTATTAGTCTTCTCTTTCAATATAAACGAACTAGCACCACACCTGCCAATGATTTCACTTCCATCTTGCTGTAAAGTCTGTGACATCACTGCTGAAAACTGATAAATTCTCAATCAGTCTTGTTTAGCAATCATCTTTTTAGCTTTCACTGTTTAAAGAAATTCACAGCCAAAAAAATTTTGTTGTTAATTGGTAATGAAAATTATGATTAATTACAGTCCTAAACTAGAGCACACTAGATGTAACTGTGACCCATGAGCCTGCAAACAGCCTGTGGAATGTTCTTGTGTGTCAGTGAATTAAACTCTGCTGTGTTAACACACTGTCTCAAGACTCCCTTAAACTACAGGGCAGTGACCCCTGCTCGTGTGTGTGTGTGAGACGGAGAGAGAGAGAGAGATGCAGGTAGCAGGCACCAAGTCCGTCAGAGTCCACCATGCGTTAGCCGAGTTTCAAAGGTGTGAAAAGAACGTTAATGTTCACACAAGTATAAATGCAACATCTATGCAACCATCTCTGAATGACAGGCGGCTATGTCATACATGCAGTGACGCAGTGACGCACAAGTCTAAATCTGGCTTCAGCTAGGTGATGGAGAAAGGGGATATGTGAGGTTTGGGGACAACGTAGACAACACACAAATATGGCAGCAAGTGAATTTGACTGAAATATCTTTACTGTCTCTCTGTGCTCTGGTTCCCTGCAGGTCCATCTGAGATAGGATTAGTTTTACACAAACATCCTTTTGACACCAAAAGGCCCCATAATAATACTTTGTCTCACCTGAGCAGCTGTTGTGTGTGTGTGTGTGTGTGTGATGGAGAAACTCTTTCATCCTCTAAAGCGGTTCCTTTGACTTAAGTGGTATTTCTGCCAATTTGTCTCACTGCTTCTTTCAAACTCCAATACTTGGCTTCACACTTTGCTCCATCAGGTTGCCTGCATTGCTGTTGGTGGGAATCTGGCCTCCATCCACACCAAAGAACACTACGACTTTGTGAAAGGTTTGACAAACCTCAGCTGGCTCAAATAAACAAACGTGGGTTGGAGGCACTGCTGCAGTCAAGGTGAGTGACTTAACAATAGACTTTGAGCATTTAATAGTGAATGTACAGTATTCACAGTCGGGGACAGTGCCTCTGGACTGGCAGACCGGGGTGGTGGTCCCTCTTTTTAAGAAGGGGGACCGGAGGGTGTGTTCCAACTATAGGGGGATCACACTCCTCAGCCTCCCCGGGAAAGTCTATGCCAGGGTACTGGAAAGGAGAATTCGACCGATAGTCGAACCTCGGATCCAGGAGGAACAATGCGGTTTTCGTCCTGGCCGTGGAACACTGGACCAGCTCTATACCCTCTTCAGGGTGGCGGAAGGTTCATGGGAGTTTGCCCAACCAGTCCACATGTG